CACCATCTGCTTCAGCCCCACACAGAGAAGTGAGTGGCTGGTAAGTCCTGGCTGTGTTGGAGAAGTGATTTGAGCCTTTCCCAGGCTTTGGGAATCCCAGAATCCCAGAATGGTGGGGTTGGAAGGGACCTCAGGAGATCATCCAGTCCAACCCCCCTGACAAAGGAGGTTCTCTACACCAGGTTGCACAGGAAAGTGTCCAGGTGGGTTCTGAACATCTCCAGAGATGGAGACTCCACACCCTCTCTGGGCAGCCTGTCCCAAGGCTCCGGCACCCTCACAGCAAAGAAGTTTTTCCTTTCTGTCTGGAACTTCTGGTGTCCCAGTTTGTGCCCATTGCCCCTTGTCCTGTCACTGGGCACCACTGAGAAGAGCCCGGCCCCATCCATTTGGCCCCCACATTTCAGATATTTATAAACATTGATCAGATCCCCTCTCAGGCTGCTCTTCTCCAGGCTGAAGAGTCAGTGACGTGCAGCTGGTCCTGGCTCTGTGCATGACTGAGTCTTGAAGATGATGCTTTTTCTTACTGTAATTTTGAAATTTCAGAGCACACCCTCACACTGAAGGTCTCCTCAAACCCACCTTTCACCCTCTTTTCCCTTAGTTTTGGCTTTGCCACCTTTCACCACTTCTCCTCCCGCTCCCACCAAGCCACCAGTTACCACCTCTCATCATTGCAGGCTGATTAACCGGGTACAACATCATCTCACAAAAGAAACATTTATTTATGAAAATCCAGTTGGACAAACCCGACAATCAGAGAGAGACCATTCTGGGGACCAGGGTTGGAATTTTATCTCTGTAGAGATGCTACTATGGGAAGAAGTTCACACAAAGCTCCTATTAACTGCCCCACACACCAGATACCAAACCCCAGATGTACATCACAGCCTGTCTCGTCCCCTCGCTCCCCTCCTGGCCCCGACTGTATCATATTGCACAGAATCAGGAATGTTTTTGTCTGGGATGGAAAGTTTAAGGGCAGAGACACCCGAGAGTCACCTCTCATCCTCAGCTGCTCTTGGGACTCACTGTCCCTTTCTCTGGGGTGCCGTGACCTCCAGGTTGAAGTGATGAGTGTGATTTAGCTTCCAGCAGAGGTGGTATTTTGGGTGGATATACTATAGGAAAAGGGGTTATTTGTGTGTTTAACTTTGCTTTCTAACTGCTGTATTAATTATTCAGCTGAAGACAGGTTTTTTGAGGTGGGATGGTGTGTTCAATAGATTCTTAACAGATTCCTGAAGCCTGAGAGGTGGGTTTTTAAAAAATATTATTATTTTAATGGTAAGCAAAAGCTAGGAGCTCTTGGGCTGGGCACTTTGGTTATGTGATCTCTCAGGAGGGCTCTGGCAGTGAGCTAAAAAGTAACAGTGAGCTAAAAAATAACCTGTCAGCCCCGTGGAAATCCGCAGCACATAGTGGATACTCTGCTTCCATCCCAAGTCACGACCCGCTGGCAGGTGCCATGTGCTCGGCTGGGCCAAACAGCAACTTCATCCCTCAAGGTGCATCTTCATTATTATCTAAAATAAAGATAATAATGAAGATAAGTGGTGGGTGGGCAGCTTTTTGCCCGTCTACCAGCAATCCTGTTACAAACCCTACGAACAATGGGGGTTGGTACCGGTTGCTTTGCTTTGACTTCCACGTTTGCAAAGCTGCCTGATTTTTCTGGCAATCAGGGCTCTTGCTTGGCTTTTGCTGGTTTTTTATGTTTTGAGCTGGTGGGAGTTAAATGGTTACACATGAAACGGGGTGTAAATGTTGTATTTGGGAGCAATTGAGCAGACCTCGAGGTATGTGTGGAGATGGGGATTTGCTGCTCTATGTTCCCGCTGGGAAGAGCAATTTCTGAGTGCTGGGAAGCAGCCCTGAGCTTATAATCAGTCCCTTGGGGGTAAGGAGATGGCTTCAGGCTGAGGTTTGGGTTTCAGAGCTCCTTCCTGCAATGGTTTTGGCTTGGAGTGCGTTGTAATTGGCCGTAGGCAGCTCCCTTTAATGATGGTGGGAGTTATCTGTGTGCCTCCGAGGAGGAGATGGCAAAGGGATGTGTGCAGACCTGCTGAGTGATTCTCTCCAGATGCTATTATTTTGCATTTCAGAGAGCCAGGAAAGAGACAAAGAAACTGTCTCGCTTTGCAATTGAATTTCTAATCAGAGATCTGCAAGCAAACCAGGAAAACAGGCTTAATAAACCAGAAAAAGCCTCTGTATTACAGCAGACCTGTTTGAAAGGAGAGCTGGAAATAGCGCCGAGACGGGACTCACCAAATGGTCACGTGTCCCATCCCCCAGCCTGGGCAGGGGTGTCTTGTTTTGGGCTTTCCAGACTTCAAAAGAAGATTTCTCTGTGGCTTTTGCATGCAGAGAGCACCCCAAGGTTGGTGAAATCAGCTCACGTTGCCTGATGCACATCGTGTGTGTGGACACGGAGCTGACCCAAACATCCCATCTTGTGGGTTGGCCCAGATCCTAAATGTGAGAAGAACTTTGTCCTGATTCCTGCCTCCACTGATAAAATAACTTGGCACTTGGAGTGGAGAGGAAAACCCGTGTCTGGGTGTGTTGTACCCATTTACACAGAACATTTTGGTTTTCCTGCGTTGCTCTCCAGCTATTGAATGATCCCTTGACACGTTCCCATCAGCTTGGGCGTCCCAGGTAGGCTCCGCTGCCGTCATTGGCACTATTTAGAACAGGTGGGAATTTTTCCCACTTTATTTCAAGAGAGAGTTTTCTACAAGATGTACAAGAAGCATTTTGGGCTGTAAAATGTCAGCTTGAATTGAAGTCTCCATGCACACCCTTGGGCTTATCCCACATTTCAAGCTGAGCGTTGCTTATGAGAAGACAGTTGTCGTTTCTCTGAACATCTCATGATCTTTGGGGCATAAAACATGGAGGACAAAAGGGCAGCGTGGTTATATATGTATATATATACACACACACACACACACACATATATATATATATTTATTTTTTTTCTAAATGCTAACTAACTCTGTAGGCTCACAGCCTGACACAAACTCTTGTGCGTGTGGTGGATGGAGCAGATCTCTGCTTGCTTTGTTCAGCTCTCTAGATCATTTTGAGATATTTGGTTTCAGTTTTAATTTTGGATTTGGGTGTACATCAGAATTTGGCTCTGGTTTGTAGCACCTTCTCGTGTATTGGCAGCACAGCTCCTGTGGAGATGGTGGCAGAAGTGTCCTAGTCCAACCCTTGTGTTAAAACCCGTGACATCACCTGTTCCTTCGATCGCTGCTGCCTGGGGCTGGTGGTTTTTTTGGGAAGCCAAATCCCCAGGCAGGCTCATGCCATTCCCCATTCTCCACGCCGCAGGGTTGTGGGAGGCAGCAGCCAGGGAATATGTCTTAAGGCGACAAGAATGGTGAGAAGTGGAAGTGTAAGCAGGAAAAAAATAGTGTATCCCAGCGTGTGCGTGAAGCACGTGGCCGTTCACAACGTCGCGTGGTCACAGCAGTCGGGAGGAGTGTGGCAGTGGCTGGCCGAGCTGCTCCTCGCTGGTGGCACTTGGCAAGATTTTGGGTAAAAATGAAGATAATAATTCTTGTCAATCTGGTTTTGCAGCCATTTTTTTTGCTCTTAGATCCATCTATTTACCCATTCATTTAATTTCTGCTGGAGTCATTCCTCAAATACGTGTATTTTTATCTCCAAGAACCATCGTGGCTGGGGTTTTATTAATGACTGGATCTTCCAACAGCCACTTTGGAGGCTGAATAGCTGAAAAGCTCCAAAAGTAATTTCTACTTTCCTTCCAGAAATTTCTGTGTGCTCAGCAGGGTCTGATGTTGGGCTGATTTAAAATGAATGAGCAGTTTTCCTTGCCCTCTGCAAATCTGTTGTGCATCTGTCCAGTGTTTTGATCTTGCAATGAATCTATTTTAGGAGCTTGATTTCTACACTAGAAGTGAGAGATTGGACCAGCAGCAAGAAGCAGTCGATACAACTGCCCCCAAACTTGTGGGTTTGTTCCCAACAAGCCAACTTTCAGCACTTCTCATTTTATTTACTTTTTTTTTTCCCCTCTGAGTGTATGTTCATACATTTGATGACTCAAATGGAGCCCTTGGTATGAAGAGCCTCAGTGAAAATTATCCATTGCAACAGGACTAAAATATTAGCTATATCCATGTACACATCATAAACCTCATGTTTTACGCAAAAGACAGGGAGATGAAAAGAAAAAAAGAAGTTTCCCTGATTAAAACAAAATCCAGAAAGTGGAAGTGAATCATTTCAACCCTCCTCTGAGTAAAAAACATCTGCAAAATTCTTGTCTCCCTTCACACCTTGCATGCTGGTAAAACTTTTTCTGACAGGATCCTACCGTGCCCCTTTCTGTGCAGCTCTATAGACACCTCCAGCTTGTGAAAAACATTTCAGTAGGGTCGATCTTTTCTTCTCCAGAACTCCTCAGTCTTCCAAAAATCTATCCAAGACACATCATCTTGGGCCTTTTAGGAAATCACAGTGATTGCTTTTGGCACATATGGGTGATTAACAGCAACCAAAGTCTGGCTCGGGTCAGAAATCCTTTTCGAGAGCCCTGTTTCCATGAGCTGTGTGGTGCAGAGGCAACAGAAGGACCATCGTGCAGAGGGATGTGGGTGCCAGAGATGAGTTGAGATTGTGCAGAAGTACCCGAATCTGAGTTGAAATGCCGAGTGGGTGGTGGTGCCCTGTGGATGTCCAGGCTTCTGAAGCTGAAAACAGCATTTTTTAATGGATTTTTGAATTGAATACCCCTCTGGATATTCAACCAGGAATGACAGGGAGAGTGAAATTAAAGATGGGAGGAGGAAAATGCAAGGCTGGTTCATTTTCCTGTGGGGTGGGATGCACAGGGAGATCCCTGCTGCCTTGCAGAGAGCGGGGAAGCACCTGCCAATGTTGTACTTGTGGTTTAGGAGAAAAACCCAGCTCTGTCCCATTTCTACATCCTGTCCACCCACCTGGCACGTGGTGGGTTGGACAGGCAGCGAGCAAGGTGGAGCTGAGCCAAACCTCCCCTGTGTTCAGACACAAGCCACGGTGGAGCACACGAAACTAATCCAAAGCTTTTACTCTCTGTCTCACCCAAGGGTGGGCAGCGAGCGGCGCAGCAAAGAGGTGGCAAAACAGCACAGGGGGAAAAGCCGGCACATCACAAACCCGGGTGATGACGCTGGGTGCATTGAGCACTGGAGCATCCCAGTGAGGGAAAGGGGATGGTGGCACCTTTGTGAGCAGCTGAGGGAGCTGGGGAACCGCTTAGGTGAGCGTGTTGGAGTAGAAGCTGAAACTTTCAGAGACTGTTTTGGAGTCGCTGCGGGAGGAGCCATTGGAGGTCATGTCTACGGAGAGACGCCTGGCCTTGCCGCTCTCCTCCAGGTCCTCTTCAGCTGCACCAACTGCCGAGGACACGGTGGTCTCTATCCGGCTGACCTTGTACATGCTGCTCTGTGTCTGCAGGTATCTGGCTGACTTCATTTCCAGGCCTTCGTACTCGCCGGCGCTGACGAACGGGCACCACCGAAACGCGTGTTTGAACCCCACGCGAAACCTGGAGGGACAGAAGAGATGGGGAAAGGCAGAGGTGAGGGGCGTGGAGGTGGCAAAAGGACCTTGCTAAAGTGGGAAGATGAAGCTAAGCTCTGCTAAACAACAGCAAAAAATGACACTTTTCACTAGGGAGAAGAAAAATCCACTGATAAATCCCAGTTAGGAGTCAGGACTATTTTGATACCTGCCCTCAAATCCCACAGGGGCTTTAAGAAGGATTGATTTAGGTGAGTAGTGTATTGTCCTTGCATCCGTTGGAAGCAGCCCCTGGCAGAGGATGGGACAGAACCATCCTGGAAAAACTCTCCACACATACTCTCCTCCGTCAGACCCCTCTGTGTCTCCTGTTCCTCCCCTCCCTGTTACATCAAGATGTTGCCAAAAGTCCCTTGAAACCCACCTGTCATTGAGGCAGCAGTAGATGATGGGGTTGTACATGGTGGAGCTCATGGCCAGCCACATGATAGCCAGGTAGACCTGCTGGATGAACTTCTGCAGGTACCACTCAGGGTTGAAATACTGCAGGGTGAAGTAGATGTGGTAGGGCAGCCAGCACAGTGCGAAAGTGCATACCACGATGATCATCATCTTCACTACCTGTGAGGAAGAGAGAGGGCAGGGAAGCAAAGTCATCTGTCAGACACCCCGCAGGTGGGGTGTCACCCTCCAGAAGGAGCCACCTCTTTTTTGCCTTGGAGACCTTTTCAATTTGGAACACATGAGCAGCACCTTGGTTAAACCATTCACGTTCATGGAGGACAGACATCTGGAGGACACTCTCTGCTCCATTAGCAACAACCATGCAACAGGTCCTGACCTGTTTCCACCCCTGAGGAGTATTTTTGGCTGTGGTTAGTTGGGATTTGGCATGAATGATGGCTCCTAATGTGCTTGAAGCTCCTTACCTTCCGCTTAGCCGAGACCTGCTCGTGGTAGCGATCGGAGGAGTCACCAGGTATCTCGCTTGCCCAGAGGGTGATGCCGACCACAGTGTAGGCACATCCTATCACCAGGAGTGGCAAGAAGTAGATCAGGATGGTCATGCAGAAGTGATACCTAGAAAAAGTGGTGGTGGTTGAGTGTGTCCTCTACCTATTCACAGAATCCCATAATGGTGGGGGTTGGAAGGGACCTCAGG